GAGCGACAGAGAGAAACTCGTGATGGAAACGCAAATCCAGATTTTATTTTTTCTTGGGCTCACTGCTACGCACTACTGAAGAAATATAATGTATTGGTTGTAACACAAATGCAGCTTCCGATTCTGAGTGCGATGATGTGAAGTGCATTTGTAAACGAAGCTTTAAAATATTGAGAAAGATGATTAATGAACCAGACATACAGTATCACTAAAATCTCTCAACGAGGGAGCTGCAAGGGCGTGGATTACTAGTTCATGCATGCCCCTGAAGAGAATGACACAACAGAAATTTATATAAAGATTCAATAAAAATTAAATGCCTTGCTATGCAGCAGAAATGACTGTCGGCAATAGTAAATTACATATACCCTGGTAAAGAAAGCAAAATGAAGTGAAGATGTTATGATACATTATTGACACTGTACAGTCCACAAATGTGCTGTGGAGGCTTTTTTTTGTAAATAGAAGACCCTTTGTCTCCTGAGCTAGAGAATAAATCAGCTGACAGGGCTGTTTTCCTTTGCCCAGCTCAGAAAGAATTTAGAGCTCTAAAATAACAGGGAGGAAGGAGTCTAAGCTCAGAATTATCCTGGCATACTCGGATGCACAATTGTTTGAGTTCTTGCAAAATGAAATTGTATATTTTGTGTGCCTTGTTGGCAACAGTCCTGCCAGCTGTGATCACAGGTAAAAGTTGATTTTCCGATGTTCTGTGGGCCTCTGTTAAACTCAGTTTGCATCTTTCAATCAACAGGTGAAGAGGAAAAGGCCCAAGTGTAAGCTCTCCAATTTTGAATGTTTTTTAAAGGTTCAACCATCAAGTCCATGTAATTTTGTGTGTGCCATTTCAGGGACAGTGCTGTAGTTGCTGATGATGCCTCAAATGACCTTGGCGTAGTTGGTATGCTGTGATATTCAAATTCTCTGGGGAAATACTTGATAATCTATTACAGTCCAGCTTTGATAAGCTGCAGTCATGCAGCCATTTGTTTGGAAGGATTCTTAAATTTTAATGAGGTTGGCAGCTGAAAACGGGTTTATGGTTTATCAAAAAGTTAAAATCAAGCATAATAAAAAGTAAAACTCTTGTTTCTCCAGAAAAAAGCCAAAATAATAGTAGGATAAATTGATTAGCTTCAGCTGATGTTCTCAAAAAGTAAATTATGTCATCTTTGTGTGTGTGAATTTTCAAACTGGTGGCCTCTCACAGATACTTGAATCTTATTGGCTGGTTATCAAAGAGAAATGCAGTAACATATTTGAGTGGTCAATATTTTTTAGATATGCCATTTTAACAGGGTTTCCATCACTTAGCAGGAAGGTTTGTTTTTCAAAATAGATTGTTGGTTGCAGAGGGTGTTGGCTTATCAGTAGGTGTCTTCATGGGGTTTTACTGTAATGACTTTGAACAATTGCTCTTCATTCCATGAATTTTAGTTTAATGTCAGCTGATAGAACTGTGTTAGCCTTTGTCTCACGGAAAATTTTGTGATGGTGCAGGCTATGCCCAATTGGTAGTACATCATCATCTTGTGTATGGAACTTTGAGAACCATAATTGCAACATTTTTCTCAGGAATGAAGGCACACTCAGCATTTTTATTTATTTTTTAATCATTGAAATCATTATTTTCTGTGGCTTTGCATTAGCCTCTGATGAGCACCCTCAACTACAGTATATGCATTAAAAGATACATTTTTAGCAACCCCATTTTAAGACTTGCACTTTTTATCCCCCAAAAAAATATTTATTTTCAAGAGTTTCAAGAAACATTATTTTTGTCAGGATAATTTTGGCAACTTTGAGCTGAAACGTCTATTCAAAAAGCTGCTATAGATCCGTAGGATAATTTGTATACTGTATTAAGATTTGTACAGTTCTAAAGATTAATAGGCTGAACAATTTTAGAAACATTGCTTTCACCAGAGCTTACATTTAGTGATCACAAAATTGTTGAGTCATATTCTGTACAGTTCCTTTAAAAAATACAAATAATCAGCCCGACTTAGTAACTCTCCTCTCTTCTCCACTAGTCTGAAAATCTAGATAGATTATGCTCAGATCAAAATATGTATCCTGTTTCTCTCATTGCAGCGGAGTCCCTCTCCCTTGATGACGCTAACCGCATTGCCCGAACTCTTTATGCAAGTGAGTATATTGCAGTAATTTTCACAATGCAGCTGTATCCTCTCATTGACTGAATACTTCTCACATACTTCGCAGGCAAGCACCTAGGCTACAGGAGTCATGGTAATAAATTAGCCAGAAGGCACAACAGACACCGAGGTAATCAGCAAATTCCCAGAAATGATTTTGTTGAACTTGAAAATGTTGTCTTTCCCTCATTTTCTGAGCAGTGAAGAACTCCTATGGGTTATCTGGCTGTAAGTTCCAACACAAAATCCATTTAGTTGCAGTCTGACATATCTGCATCCAAATTTCAGATGGACTACTTGGCCATGTTAAGGGTGCTCTCTATGGAAAATTGGCTGGCCACAAGAACAGGCGCCACAGGAAACATCATAGATTAGGCAGACATAAGGGATTAAGACATGGCAAACATGGTTATGGCCACCATGGCTATGTCAACAATGGGTATGGCCACACTGGCTATGATGGCATTGGTTGTGGCCATGCTGGCTGTAGCCACACTGGCTATGATGGCATTGGTTGTGGCCATGCTGGCTGTGGCCACACTGGCTATGGCCACACTGGCTATGGCCACACTGGCTATGATGGCATTGGTTGTGGCCATGCTGGCTGTGGCACAGGTTATGACAATGTAGGCTATGGTGCTGAATACAGCAGTATTGGCTATGATGGTGTCAGCAGCTATCACAATGATTACCATGGTAAGGACAAAAAGTTGCATGGCTTATCAGGGATCTAAAGCCCTGGGATGGTTATTTTTTTAGGTAATTCATATGATGAAATTGATGGATATGGTGGCTATGGAGTTGATGCTGGATATGGTGGCTATGGAGTCAGTGGACACAACAGCTATGGGAACAACAACTATGATGATGGCTATACCAATGACTACAATGATCATTATAGTGTCTCCAACTACGAAAACAGCTATAGCGCTGGTTCTGGTTCTGCTGAAAGCTACATTACATACTGAAGATTTGGAACACTACATACTGGCTAGAAAACCAGATGCATTTCCATGATGTCGCAAGAGTCAATTACTTGTATGAGTAGTGCAATGAAGTACACTGGATGCAACTTTAAACTGAAGAATTACTGCAGAAAAGGCTTCCCGAATAACCCTCAAGTATAGTCTAAATTGGTTAATGCATTGTGTCAAGCACATAAATTCACACCAGAAATGCTGAGCTGGGCACAGTCACCATGTGCTCATTCTTCCTGCTGTGCACAAGCAAGTAAATTCAAAACATTCTGTGCAACTCTTGTGAGACTGCTCTTTTTACTTGTTCACTCACTCTGCTCAATGAGATTTATATTAAAACTGATGTTCAACCCTATTCAGCTCATGGGTTTCTTGCATTTTTTGAGCCACATGCCACATCACATTCCACACACCATGAAAGTTTCATTCATGATTGAAGGTCATGCATGCATTTTTTTTAAATTTCCAATTCTGCCTGATGAAGTTCTTAAAGACATTGATGCAGTGTTTTTTGGTTCACCATGTCAGAAGAATGTTTTCAAAATTACCATAGGAAAAATTGCATCCAAAAATATATATTTTTCCAAGAAACCATGTCACAGGAAAACTCCCAACAGGATTATGTTCATGGAATCATGTGAACAGCTGAAAGTAGCATTATATATGCATAGATGACTTCATTTTACATAATTTAAGAAAAAAAACATCAGAATATTGTAACAGTAAATATCATTATAGTAGTGCTGACTACTGTAACAAGATAATACTTGAACAGTAATTAGTGTCTTATCTCTTGAATAGCAACAATGATATTTCAATTTGTTCTAATGAATATTTCTTCATAACAGAGCTTCTTTGAGGTCCAATGATCAGTCCATATAGTATACTAAAACATTGCTGGATGCAACTGGAATATTAAACAGCCTTGGAGATGTTGTTGCTTGCAAGGACCAGTCTCTCAGAATATTAAAGACATCCATTCCACTGACCCCCCAAAATGATAAGAAGGACCCAAATCCCTTCTCTAAATTTAGTGGTGAAAGAACCCTCTGAGAAAAAGCAAAATCCATTGTAGGGATTGTAGACAAAAAAATGAAGAAAGTCAAGAAGAGATTGCTGAGAAGTCACTTTATTTCACCTAGGCACTTAGTGTACCTGGTTTGAGGCATGCCCAACAGAAGGGAGCAAATCTAAAAATTATTTATTCATCCTGATGCCCTTAAACCAGAATGGAAGGGAGTTTTGTTTGTGCGCCAAACCCATGCCACAACAGCGCTCTGGGAAGGGAAAAAGCACACCAAGGAAACCACGGCAGCGCATGTGATAGCTTTGATTTACTTAAAAATTTTGAAGATCAAGGAGACCAATGTTGAAGGCAGATCGAACAGTGCCTAGGCGATTTTGATCCATGCAAAAAAGAACGCCTGCCCGGCAATGGCATTTAACTTAAGACAACACGCTATTATTGTGTACAACCTATGGTCATCTCCTCAAGAGTTAGTGTCGAGGCAAGTTTAGGTCTAGCACTGAAAAATTGTAAGACAACATGTGTGTGTCCAGGCCAATTATCCTACAATGGATATCTCTTGAAACAGTTCCATAACTTGCAATTCCAAATGAAATGTGCACATTTTCAGGATTAGTCCACCCTAGTCATTTTCACTGGTAGTCTAAATCATGGATCCTTCTACAGTCTTTTCGCAGGGATCCTTTCACAGTTTTCCCACAGGGATTATTGCCAGCGGACTTTTACATGGTTTAGTATTTGAACCAAATTATGCAGAGGGTTTGAAAGTGGCACACAAAACTTTCAGCAGACTATCCCTCTGGATGCGCCACAATTTAGAAAGTAACTGGACAAAATCAATTGAGAACAAGATTTGATATACGAATTGGTGTATTCAGAACACAGGCAAAAAGTTTCCATTGACAGACACAGTGAACTGCAAATGGAAAGAGGGTAAAAAAAAGTGCTGGCTTGTTCATGAAGGCTTCTTCCAAATTACAAAGTTTTCCCCTCGAAATATCAATGGGAAATGGTAGTACTTCATGACGCTGAGCTGCCAGTTAAAACAGAGTCATCAGCAACATCCGGGTCCACAACAGCCTGAAAAAAAAAGAAAAATGTAACATCCAGAAACATTATTCCAACATTCAAAAATCTGAAAGCCAACAGTGCATTTCAACGGAAAAAGTTATGAACATGAATCAATATAGAAACAATTTCTGCAATGCCAACAGATATTTTCTACTATGCAAAGATCACTTAGCGAGTGCTGAAATTGTTGCAAGAAATGAAACACTGTAGTTTCCTAAAACTTCCCGTTTCAGAGCACAAATGTCAACAAAAAACCTCAGACTAGATTTACATAATAAATACACCCAAAGGTGGGGAAATGATTTCCAAGCAAAAAATTATCACAGCACTCCTTGTTATACAACGGTCATAATAACCATGACATTCTGCATCACACAAATGTCCATATTTACTCCGGAAAGACTGGCATCCCAGATTTTTATTTGTCCAAAAAATAATCCCACGCTCAAACTTCTGTCAAGTGAAAAGTAAAAATGTTTAAATCTCGAGGATTTCGTGTTGGAATCTGCTTTTTCCTCTGCATTAGTAATGTGTCTTTTGTTATTCTTGTCAACGAGAACAGGTGAAGGGTGCTTGAATTTCATGGCTCCCTCAATTAGATGAATATTTTTCTCTTCTTTCCTTCCACTGGAGTCTCCAACTGAAATGATTATTTCTTTGAACCTTATTCCTTATGGAAAAGGAAACTTGGCGCCACATATTAAATTTTAATTTTTTCATGTGCAAGGACTCACATGTGATGGGCACTGTTTACCCTGGTTTTCATTGCAAAAATGTATACCTGGGTACCAAAAGCACCCTACTTTTTTCTGGCAGCAATTTCTGGAAAAAAGGTGCGGTCGGTGATTGCTAACCCAATTCAAAATAAAATTGAGGGAAATGTATTCTTATTCAATTTTTCAGAACTCATGCTTCTTGAGATACTGCATAGTAAATGAGACTTCCTCTGACTGTACAATTACAAATTGATCCGAGCGAAATTCGCCACGTATTGGACTTTCTCTGTCTTCGGCGTCAGTACATCGTCTTCCAGGCGTTTTATTAGGAACCCAGCAGGCTCGGAAAGACAAATTTCGGAACTGGAAGAAAACTCACGTCGTGCAAACGATGCAGGAGTCCGAGGGATTGAACAATGGTAGGACGCAGAGCGTTGATTTCTTCCAACGACAAGTGATCCACTTTGGCATGAGTCCCGCTTTCCTTCACCAGCATTTCCGAAGAGAAGTGGAGTTTGTTTTGGCGTGTCATTTCAATGTCGCGGAGCAAGCTGCGCAACTCGTCCGCGTCCGGCAAGCCGTCACCTTCCACATCAAGAATCCGGTTCGCGATCGAGATCATCTCCACGCCCGGCAACTTCGTGAAGTACCCAGAGGATTTCTCTTCTTCCTGGAAGGAAAATCAACTCAGAAATCAGAACATTTTCTTCGATTTTTGAAAACCCTTTTCCTTGAAATTCCTGCAGCAATTCAGTCTAAATGTCGATGAACCGGCAATAACACGAGGATACAAACGACATCTTCCAAATGCGAGTTCGCCTCTTCAAGTGGAACATAAAGGGACTGGCGAAAATTCGACTTCAGGGAGGTTTGGTTAGGGATGTTTAGGTTTGGAAACGACCCAAATTTTCCCGATTTCGTCTCGCAAAAAATCACGGTGCGTTTTGCATCGGGATGCAAAATCTGAAAATTGTGCATGATTCCTATCGCATCAACTAGCAGAAGTTCATCGATGAGCGCCATGTAAGGTTGAAGCATGACCAGACCAGGCTACATACTGTACAAGATTTCTACCTGATGTTCCGATCGGAAAGTTTCGGCAAAAAAATCGGCAACCTTCTCCTTCAGCAAGGATCATTTTATTTCAAAAGAAAATCTGCAGGCCTTCATCAGTCTTTCTTTCCCGCGATGAATTTCGCATGTAGAGATACAGTAGTGGGACCCCGACACACGGACGTTTCACTTTCGGACACTTGAAGCTAACAGAAAAAAAAAAAAACTCGAGATACTGACACTTTTCCAAAATTGCTAGAAAATTAAAATTTTTTTTCTAAATTCTGACCTTTTGAACAAATGAGCTATTTATATTCACAAAAATTTAAGATTGATTGCATTGTAAAATTACTCCAGTTCAGAATCAAAAACAAGTTTTTTTCCATCATTTGTGCACAGGATAGCTAGACTCGTCCTTGTTATTTGCTTTTCGAGCTCCTTCTGATGCAAGAAGATCCCATTCTGCGTGGTTATCTTCTGCGCAGTTATTTTCTGCATCTTGAAGTTAAGAAAAACATTTTTATTCAAGATTGCCTAATTGTTGATGAACAGGAGAACCAATTAAATATATTCTAATGAAAGTCAATCGGAAAATTTGATTCGACATACGAATGCTCCGACATGGTCTGAACACCAATTACGTCTGCAGCTCGACGCCCCGCGGTAATGTCAATTGAAAATTAGCGCATTTTTTGACCCATCCTGCAGAATAGCCATGAATTTTCTGGAATACTCCGCAGGGTACCAAGTGACAGTACGTCCCGCATATCCAAGCAAACTTTCTTCGATTTGGAGGATCTGAAAAAGTGGGGGCGCGTGTGGGAGTGGATAGCATCCTACCTTTCCGCAAATACGGAATTCCAAGCATCAACTTCAATAGCCCGGGGTTCACCGCATAAGTTCAAAACCTGACCTGGTAAACGGGTAACCAGAGCAAGTTCAGAAATTCGAGGAGAGTGTACTTTCTCTGACCTAGCCTGAAATCAAAAAGTGGGACAACATATTGGGAAGTTTCGTGAGATCCGTCGTAAATCCAGGTAAAGACTTGTCACAGCTGTCTTGCTAAATAAGATACAGTACAGCCGGAATAAATCCAGGACGGAACTCACAGAAGTCAACTTTTCTTCTTCAAATACCAGTTCAAAGAATGGTACAAAACTTTCGAATCGGCAGAGAGAACTGTATAAAGTCGAACCCATGCGGAAAATGAACTATTCAAGGGATAAATAGTCTGCCAACATTCATAACACACAGGTACACAGACATGGTTCATTTCGACGGATAATCGATCCTCTGATATCAGCACTGAAGAATGGAGCGATGTTTCTTTGCCAGCGTTTCGGAACAATGGGCTCATGAAATATATGATGAGGCAATAAAACTTGCGTCTGGACAGCACCACATAAAACGGAAGCAGATTCTGTATTTTACTGGGCCAAGGATTTCTTGAAGCTCGCACTCTTTCCCCAACTGTCGAGACTCTTATCGCAATCGACACGAAGTTCGTGCGGGTTCGGGAAATCCTAAATGGACTTCCGGGCAAAATATCCGGACAAATCACGTCGGCATTCGCAGCAGGGTGGAAAGATATCGCCACGTAAATATGTCACGGGTAGAAACCATGTGCCCGGATCAGGACTCGATATTTCAGCAGCTGGAATGCTCACAGTGCAACCTTCAACTGATTTCGCTCAATAGGAACAGCAGACACAAGGAAGGTGCGGAAACCATTGATATGCAAAAGAGGGATCACAAGCGCCAACTGCAGTAACTAGATTTATTTTGTGGGTTCGTCAGTCGCAAACAAAGCTGCTTCGAGAGCCTTCAACACGGAACAGGTCATTAATCATTACTCAGACCAAGTCATTGAGACAGTCGCACCTCTTCAAGTAGAATTTCGAGACCAGCAAACGAATTCGAGCTAGGGAGGAATGGAGTTTTTGTGTTGGCATCGCGCTTTTTATTACGACTTTTCCGTCAACTTGGAGAAGTATTCTTGTCGTTGCTCGTAAGACTCTTTTTTCATGCCAATGGGGCAGATTCTGTGAAATTTTCTTTTGCATTAATTCCTTACATTCAACAGTAAAAACATTTTAGCTTACATTTTCGGAGATTTCCTTCAGTTTTGCCAGTAAAAATGCTCCCAATGAAGTCTATGGGAAAATTTGATCCGACATACGAACGTTCCAACATACAGTCTGATGAGTAATTACGTCCGCATCGCAGGGCCCTTTAGTAATTTCAGCGGTGAGCGTAAAATAAGTTTACGTTCAAGGGACAAGCATACGAATCGACAAGCGTGAAAAGTAACGTATTCGCGAGTTATTGCGCTAGTCCCGCTATTTCACAAACGAACTTCATACAGTAGCGATCAGAAGTTATTTTACACAATTTCAGCCCTTTCTAGAGTAGACTCCAGTACATTATTTTATTTTTTCAAATTTGTTCACGCTGTCGCAACAACACGAAGCTCGCGGACCATTATGGAAATCTGTTAGTTAACCGGAGATGAAGCATTTGCAACGCCTTAGTAGAACATCAAATATGGGAAAAAGTTGACTTCCGTATCAGCTACTGTACTAGCATTTTTTTCCAAAACTCGGGAATTCCAAGTCTCATAGGATAGCCAACGAGAGCAAAAATGTGATTCCGCGTTCATCAGCCATGCCATTCTTTTTGCCAGTTAATCGTTTCTACAAATATCGATCTTTCCTCTTTGCACTCGATGAAGAACTCAATTTATATCGGTTCAGCGGAAATACGCCGAGGCTTCCAATTATTCGCAAGCCTCTTCGATGATGAATGATCGAATCAACATGACCTTAATATAACGAATCCGTTTTTGAAGGACACGACGTGATACTGGGATAAAACAAGCCGTTCTTGAAGGATATTGACTGATAAGCAAGCGAAGTAATACTTCACCTCAGAAAAAAATGGGTAACATTTTTTTTCATTATGGACGACAAATGAAACCAATCAAAATTGGATCTCGGTTTATCGGAGGTACGCATCAGTTAATCCAATAAATTCGAAAATCTTTTTTTTTCGAGCAGAACCCCGGACTTCTTAAAATTCTCCATCATACTGAACCCATCTTAGTCGATTAAAAGGGACAGAGAATGAATAAAATACTGTATCATGTACAGTATATGGCACTAAAAAAAAAGAAACACGCAGACTCACCTTTATCTTCAGAAAATTCGGAACGGACATCCACTCGGGGCACGCAATCCGGCATAAGTGCCGTTGGCGCATCATCACAGCTACCCAAAGTGGCACCTGGATCGAAATGGAAGGCTCGAAGGGCCCGATTTTCCCACTCATGAGGTAAATTGCAGCATGTCGCACTTTCGGTATGATCGTCACTATTTCATTTTCCGTCATGAACGACCCAACTTGCGGCGAGAGCGACATCCTAAAAATTGTCATAAGGTGCATTGGAACATCTTTCACGTGAGTACAGTGAACGCCACACCGAGTAAATCATGGTTCGACCAGAATATTGCTTAAAATAATCTTCGTGAATCCATTTTCTGACAGGAGAGCCAGAGATGTTAAGGCCTCTGGTGATGGTACGATGCGTAATCCACTTACAATCAGTTGAAGTTTTCCGATCATCCGTAAATGATGCCAACTGATCATGCTAACAATCCCGAAAAGGTGCCTGTGCAGAAGATCTAGCACTTTTCCCTGCATTTCTTAGAATTCTTGAGTTTTCAGAGCCAGAGTGCGTACTTAATCCTGCCCATAATCCCAATGCTTCGTCTTCAAAGCCTTTACAAAGACAAGAGAGATGACTGGTAGGTGTTGCATTCTCCATATCTCAACTAATCCCACAAATTCATTCCATGTTTTGAAGCGAAGAGAAAAATGGAAGTCCATCAATCCCCTCACGCGGAGTAGCACACACACACACGCACGCGTACAGTACCTCAATGTTACGATTTCTCATATACCGTATTGTCTAGCCCCCAAATTCCTCAAGAGGCGTTCCATGGACAGTTAACCGGAGAATTCCCCAGGCACGGAAACCCAACAAAGCTCTCTCAGAATGGGACTGGTACTGATTTTCAGTGGTACATTTGAACCACTTCAAGTTGAATCCCAAGGGAGCAGCAAAAAATTGGACTTACAGAAATTACTAGTAAGGTGAACAACCGTTTTTGCGTTTAAAAAAGAATATGAGAACGTTGAAAATATAGATCTTTTTGGCGCAAAACTGAAAAAAGTTGATGGATTGCTGACCTTGAAGGCAAGGTTTCATTTACCCAATCCTTATTTCACTTCCTTTCAAAAATCATCAAGATACATTTTTATTACTTTAATCTTTCCCAGAACACAAAGATAATAGTAAAAAACTTCTCAAGTGAAGGTTTCTAATAAAGTAAAACGTTTCCAAGTCGCGCTTCAAGGGACCAGCAAAAAATCGAGTTTGGGATGGTTTAAGTACTGTACTGTGCACAGAAACCAGCATTTTTGCTGGGGCAGGGAGGAGGGGGGGGGGATAAAAAAATTGAAGGAAATTGTGTTTGGTGATGTTCTGCGCCTTAAATTTATTCTTAATTGAGTGGACAGGATGCTGAACTTGGAGGCAAGGGCTCACTTGCCCAATTAGATTTTCACTTCCCTATTTGTGGAGGTTTGAGGGGAAAGCCTTCAAGTTAGGGAGGTACAGTATATAATTCATTGTTTCAAAGGGAATTCATACAGGGAATTGAAAATAAATTTGAAAGCGGAATGTAATCACATTAAGGTTTGAGTTATCAACGTTCAATGACTATTTTGGGACTGGATTACAATCAGGGACAGCGAACTGCATAATGAAATCAGAAAAAATTAAAACCGTCCGAAGAAATTCAATTCGTTACTGATACTGTACAACCAAAGAGAAACGCAAAGGTAAGCCTTCAAAAGTATCAGCAATACAGGGCAGTATAAAATTGGACATCAGACGCTGGGCCGGGCTCAAATTCTGGATTCCCGTGGAACAACAGAGAAGGTTTTGCGATGCGCGAGTATCACGGTGTCCCTGGTTCCGGAATTCCTTGCAGAGTCGCCAGTGACACGTGACACGAATTTGATTACCGGGATGCCAACCGTCTGGTTTAGCGGCCCACACATACCCAAGTTTTGCTGCACGAGCAAGTTCAAATGAAAGTTCTTACTCCTCCGGAAAAGATATGCGTCTTCAAGGGAACTCCTTTCCAGCTGCACAAACACTAGTTAGAAATCTCGAGTCACGTACGATTGAGCCTACCCTTACGCCCTTTGATGCAAACCTCGCACGTGTACTTCAGTAGATTTAGTTGAAAGATGTATCTTTCAAGTCTATTCAAACGTCCAAGCAGGTTTTGGGGAAACTTTCATGTCCTAGAAACACCTCTTTTTGCTATAATTTTCGAAATTCAACGCTAGTGCACACCACCTGAGCAATGTCTCGTTTATAATGCAGACTATGTCCGGTCAGCACTTAACTCGTAATGTGTCTTCTAATCATTTCTGTTCGGCTAGATCAAAAAAGACCTCTCCTCTCATCAGCTTCTTCACGCCAACTCAATTTAGCTTTACTGAGAGTTCCGGTGATGATAGCAATTATTTAACCCAGCATGACGGACTCGACAGACCATTTTCCCACCTCAACATTCACTCTCGAAATTTTTCGGGGTGCTTTTATACGATATCAAAAGCAGGACAAGGATTCCAAAAGTTAGGCGAGCATCTGATAAAAGATCTTCTTGAGAATATTTGACCACACATCACTCACGCCGTCCACGGAATACAACTAACAAGAAGAGCTCATTCTTGATCAATAGGATCGATGTAGGTCTCTTCCCGACACAGATTCTGGAAAACAAATAAAAGGGGAAATGTTCATTTCAAGCAAAACTTGGCAAAATAACGAAATATTTTCAACAAGACCTCTTGAAATAACGTTCCATTTTCACTGAATCACAAATCACGCTCACTGCAAATATATTTTTCCCGAATCCGGTTGAAAAGCGTGAAGACGCACTGCAAATAATCTCGAATCAGTATTCCCACTATCCAGTCACCTGAAATAAATGCGACGCTGCTTCCCCGATGCAACATATGACTACTGTACCGTGAATTTCCCGTATGCAGGATGCACGAAAGATCCAAATACTACACTGCGCTCCTTGTGTATTCGAGGATGTTCGCGAAAAACAAGCCACCTCGAGAGGAGGAATCACGAAGTTGTACCAATGAGCAAGGACACGACTACACATAAACGAAGATACACATACTCTCCTTCCGAGCATTTTCCTGTTCCCAGAATATGGACTAAAATCACCGGAGGGATGGGCAAAAATCACTCGCACGCAAGTACTGGAATGCGTCAACACGGGCTACCCCGACCCGTAAAAAAGGAAAAACCCTCAGCTCACGCAAAATAACGCCGAGTTCAAAACGGTACCCCACGACCGTTCATACCAAAAATTTCCTATTTGCTGAACACGCTATCACAAAAATAAAACCGGCTCCACACAACCCGCCTAACCAGAAATCAAAGATTAATTAGGTAACAACGAATGTCATTCCGACACAAGACTCAACTCAAGATATTCCGCTCAGATTCGTAAAGACCGCGAAAGACAAAAACAATCGGAACACGATTCCAGGACTCATGACCTCAACCAAGGAGCCATCACCATATGCTAAACCACGAAGAGGCCACCAAAATGACTAATATTGTCGAAAGGATCAATGCCAATCGGTAAAACTTTCATGAGCTTCACGTTTTCTTCGATTTGACTTGTTCGCATCCGAAGCCGTTCGATGCTTCTTTGTAAAAGTCTTTCTTGTAAGAGCTTTTTGCTACGCATGGCGGTCCAATGAATGGCTCCAAAACGCTCCACAGTCCGTAATACAATCGCGTGAAGATCGGAACGTATAATGACTGATGTATCATGGCGCACTTTCGGTAATGAGGCCCGTAAAACGGGTCCGATGGTGCGGGACACAACATGTTGTTCAGGTTAACTTCCAGTACCTACACAGAGACACAGATCGGCAATGAATCGAAAAAATTTTCTTTTTCGCTTGCGATTCCCGAAGTTTTTGAGCAACAATGCCAAGACTGAATAATTTGAACACACGGTATATTCTAGAGAAAGGTTTCTTGAAAACGGAACAGAAAAATCTAAGGAAGATGCTCAGAAAGACGACCGCGACAAATTCAATTAAAAAATTAAACGTCCATTCACAATTTCGTGGTACGCTATCTATCTCGCAAACTTACCATTCCCACCGGTTGGAGGAAGCAGAAATGATACACCAGCATGAAGCTCAACGTTACGATGGATAAACTCACATCTGTGAACGGTTCCAGAGTGTAAGGTCCTGCAAAAAGAGAATTTTCGTATCAGAATTTTAGGATCTCTCACAGAATATCTCACCTCCCAAACAAAGCAAATAAATGGGGACTGCAAGCATCATTACGTGCTGTATCCAATATATCTGCACTTCACACGGGAACTGACGAGATCCTGTGACGGGAAAGAGTATGGCCAGAAATGCTCCAGATAAAAAATTGCAGTGCACTCGGAACACTGTGGTCACAAAAGCTCTTGGTGGTACTGCCAAAAGGAAAAGCTGCGAAGAAAGTATTATTCGTCCATTATTAAATCATGTACATTAGTAATGTGTAAACGGATTGCAGTTCTGGGAGAATAGAAGGTCTCACTTGTATGCCCGTCGTGATGTGACACGGGTTGAGAAGAAAGATGATTTGGTGACTAGCAATTTTGAATCCGATCTCAATGCCGAAAACGAGCGCATAGGCAAGTAGCACGAACAAGCGCCAATTGGCAAGCTTCGGCGAAAGGCTGTAATACTCCGCGGCGTTTCTGTTCGGCAGCCTGGCATGAGCCCATTTGAACTGCGAGTATGATATCACAAGACAAAGCACAGTTTCTATCACCCGCTCGCGCACCGACAAAAACTTGAAGCACTCCCGGCCACCTTCCGTGGGAAATTCGGTGCCCGTCACGCCACCGCAAAGCCAGCTTAGCGACTGGCACCACGGACTCGTCCCGGAAAACTGATCAGGTACAGATGTGATCATCACTCTGAGGTTCCTCGTTCGCCGGAAAAGGGTAAGAAAGCGACAAACGGCCTGTGGCGATTATTGCCTGCGTAAGACGAGCGAAGAGAGTCAGTCACACGGCGAAGTGGAAAAAACCGTCACGAAGAACGCTAGGCCAAACTTTTTGCTTGAACCCCACCTATTAAGGCCATTTGAAAACGAAAGCTTCACTGTTCAACAAGAAGTCGGGTTGACTGCGATTCACTAAATATTTGCCAGAACAAAATCCCCCGTGATTTTCTCGAACGGGTTCAATAACAAAAGCAGATGGGTCTCAAGCAAGGTGGCAAAAAGCGAACATAATCCCCACAAATCTCCCAAGCAATGAATAAGACTATAGAACACATCACATCTGTTTTTAGTAGCGAAAATCAATAGACAACAATCGTGTGGAAGGATTCGTGCATAACACGTTGAACACTGATTTCGTCGCAAGGCTGAGGAAACTGAGCAAGGGACGGAATGATTCCACATGGCATCCGCTTTTCTTCAAGTTCATCACTGTGACAAAACCTCTTCTACTGCCTTTTCACCTCTCGCAGCGCAACTCTCCACTTAGGAATCCCGCTGTAACATTAAAGCCAACATAGAATCACATTCAAAGGAGGAAATCCCGGAACGATAAAGGATGTACGGTATATACTGAACAGCCAATTCCTTACAGACGATGAATGAAACTCACAGTTGAACCTCGATAATTTGAACCTACTGAAGTACACCTCCCAATTTCAATTTTTTCGAGTCCCCGTCGGAATTCCTTAAGAAACAATGTACTGTTTCTACCATCCACCTCAACCATCCATAGGTCGAATTTTCTGGAGGCATTTGGCTATTACAGTATTTGATTGATACAATGAAGAGAAAAGCAGTAAAAATGTAACTTCGTGTTTTAAAATTAAATGAAAGACTAATTGGGCGAATAAGCCCTAGTTTCCAAGTTCACCATACTGTAAAATTATTCAAGAGGCCATTTAAGGCATAGAATATCAATTAAAATCTCCTCCAATTCTTCCTTCTTTGCCTCAATAAAAATGCTTGTTCGACTGTTTCCTTGACTCGACATTTTTTGTTGGTCCCTTGAAATGCGAATTGAAGTTCAACTGTACCCTGAAACAGAAGCACTTGCGCCTGAACCACTAAGCTTCCCATCAGTGTCCACTTGACACGTATTACACTAGAACAATTAACAGATCCAACAGACTAAAAGCAGAGCTATTTCAAGATCAACAAAAAAACTGAATCTTCATGGAGATAAAACCGGATGATGAGAATGAAAGCAGTTAGGAAGACAGCAGGACAATTAGATTCATGGATCGCGGACGAAAATGGGATTTCTCTGATTCTCACCGATGAGGGATGTTTCTTAAGCTCATAACAGGAGCAGAGGCCATTGAAGAATTGGGAAGCTGCGCAGTATGCTGACGACACAACGCAGCCATCGTCAATCTTGACAGCCTGTCAGGATTCCTCTCAACATTCACAGGCACACGCTGAAAAACAATAAAAAAAAGTTTAACGGCGATCATACTGAAATGATTCATACAACTACATGCTCTACTTTGACACCAACTAAGAAACTTCAGCATTTACGCTATGCTTTATCACTGTACCCAAGAAAATTACCTCATCGTTATCATCGCCAGTTACAAACGTGTAGAGTTACGATGCCAGGATTCATGATCCGAATTGCCCGACTCAATATTGAATTAATTCGCTGTAAATAAACACGAATATATGCAAGAAAATGTACAAGGGAATGAAGGGAAGGTGCAAGCATTCGCAAAATTCCCCGAAGAACATAGACAGCCACGTTCCACGTCTTTCTGAATGCATACGATGTTCTAGGCGTGAAACGCACCCTTTTCAAAGTAGCGAAGACTTTCGCACGGCGATCCTCCTCGTCTTCTCGGGCAGTTGCTCGTATGATGAGTTTGGCACGCAAATCCCTCAAGTCACGCTCCCTTCAAAAGAAGAGCAGGAAAACAATTTGTATTCAAGAGTCAAATAATTTATGCACAGCCACGAAAATTGTTCGAAGGATAAAAGGCAATACACAAGATAGAGTGTTCTAAGTATGAAGGAGCAAAGCGATAACTGCAATTGGACGCAATATAATCTCTGGTCGTCACCGATAGCTCTCCGTTGCTTTGTTCGCCAGCCTTCCTCGCAGTTTCTGAACTTGAGCTTCCAAATGCATCCGCTTTTCTTTCTGTTCTTTCAGGATCTCGAGTCTGATTTCTCGAGATTCCCTACTTATTTTACGGGTTTCTTCCAGGAACTGAGAAACAAGGAATGGAATGCTAAGTATTCTACTTCAATTACTGAAAAAAGTCATACTTTGCTGGAACTAGCCCTTCGACAACCAGCTTCTAATTCCCGTTCAGCGCGCTTCTCAGCTTCGTGCTTCTCCTTCTCTGCACGCCATTTCTTCACAATTTCCTTCTGGTATTCACGGCGTCGACGTTCCACAGCTTTTGAGCGCTCTGTCTGCAACGCATCACACTCTTTTCCCTGATCTGGTTTAGCTTTCATCTCCTTGAAAGAGGAAAAAAAGGTGCTTCCCAGGAACGCTAGAAAATATGGCTTTCATCACGAACCTCTTTTTCTTTGTCCGCTCTCCATTCCTTGAGCGCTTGCTTTTTCAACGCAAGCTTCGAGCAATAAGACCGATACCACTTTAAGTGATCCATGATTTCGTGAGAATTTCTAGCTGAAGAGGAAGTTCGGTACGACTCACATGAAGATCTTCAACTTTGAAAGAGCTCACCAGCAAGTATGCGAGTCAAACGCGCCACCAGCTTCTCATCTTCTTCTTTGTGCTTTGAGAACACGTACACAAATTTAGAATGTTCGTCGTCATCCCAACCGTCAGTTCGCCCATGCAAGTGAATAAACTTCTGAAATTCTTCCACCTAGAAAACACGCAATCCACAGACAAATCAAAAGACTCAGACGCATTTTAGAAATTACCTCCTTTCTCGAACAGGCACTGCTGGTCAGCGTATCACCAGGCAAGACACTCTGAAGCATGAGCCGACTCAATCCGAGATTTAGATCCTCTTCAAGAAACGGAAAGTTGGCAGCAGTACTACTTCCGGATGGTTCGTGTACACTGTCGATGGACCTTCAAAGGCAATGATCTCCGAAACTTGGTATAAACTAGGACCAATCATCACTTACTGTCCTGATCGATTTTGCACATTGGCGCTCCACACAGTGCGTTTCTCCACAGCTATACAAGCAAAAAAATAATCGTAAGTTACAGCGCTGATTGACCAAAAGTAGATTTTACCCGTAATTTCGGCCTTCGTATATTCTGGAACACAGTCAGTGGAAGACCCAGAAAATAAACCGGATTCGAGAGACATGCTACCAGCTCAGATGCAGCGTTCACCAATCGCAGGTCACAAACGGATGTTGCCCGAACTTGGAACACTGGAGTACCATTCTATGCCTTCACTAGCAATATTCACACCACGTGCAGAATAAACACATACCACGACGTTGACACGCTTTACCGCACACCACCGATGGACCCGATACAACGTAGGCCGAAGGGACGTCAGGGTGCCCACTGGAAGCCTAACTACAGTATTGTTTCCTCGGGCGCCGCCATGTTTCACTCCTGCCGCCCTCTATCCAATAAACATTCCTTCATTCCTCATTCGCTTCAATGCTGACATCTACCAGTACCACGAAGAAATGTAATTCCCTTCCCTTCTCTTAGCTTCCAGCAACCGTGGGCATCCCGAAGTTCCTGCGCATGCTCCGACAACGTAGGACGATTAACGACGCCCATTCCCGTGAACACTGAAACGGTTACTAATCAAATTCCAACGTTCACGAAGTTCTTAAGCACCGGAGCTATTTGAGGCGACAGGTGAAATGCAGGCAATCGACTGTGGTTTCCGTTGTGAATTCATGCAATTCGAAATTTTGAACTATGTTTGTCCGGATCCAAGGGTCTCACAAACGAAAGCCACTTGCCCTGAGTTTAGTGACATATACTGACAGCAGGCCTCAACATCTGCTGCCACTGAGAAAACTTACCTATAAGTTGCATGCATGAAGCGGGGGTTCGGTAATACCGTACTGTACAGTACAGTACTCCGTAAGTCCTCGTCCTCCGTCGCAATTTTCATTTTACAGTACAGTGTACTTTACTTTAAATGGCTCTCAACCGAAAAACGCTTCATGCTGATCACTTATGTTTTTTTTTTTTTTTTTTTTTTACTTAATCGCATCAAGTTTAAAGTGGTCTTTATAGAAAAAAATGATGCTGAACTAGTGCCTCTCGTCGTTGTGATGCAGTCCAATGCTGCGGAGGGAATCTGCAACATTATTTTAATTTCCTTCCTATGGAATGAGAAAATTATGGCACGCTGCAGTGCACTGAATTAATGGCACTCCTGTTAATTTTGAAACTAACCACCACCCACCTGATAGCGACATGAGGGACATGCGGAGGAAAAGGCGTACATTTGCCGTGCAAATTAAAATCTTCGTCTTATTTGCAATAAAACTATTTTTCACGCCTGATGAGCAGAATCTTATCCTGGCGACTTCAAAGAGTCATTGAGGAATACAGAAATTATTTTCCTTTAGATCCGTGATCCATGGAACAAAAATTTAAAGGACAAATCTGTGATTGCAAGATTTTACGCATACAGCTTACAGTAAATTTGCGATGAGCGGGTATTATTCCGAGGATGAGCTGCGCGGACCGGGGAGAGGCCTTCGCGCGAGTGAGTGCCGACCACGATAGAGCGAAGTGAATCTGTCCGTCGGCCTCAGTGCCCGCTCGGGCCTTCCTGCGGTGAGCGGGAAAGCGTCGAGGTCGCGAGCGGCAGCGCGGTGGAGGGGGGGAGGGTCCGGCGGGCGAAGCGAATCCCGGCACTCAGCCCGCGGGCCTGGAGCCAGCAGGTCATCGCGCTCTGCGCTCGGCCATGTCCGAGGGGTTGTTGATTCGACTGTGTGATTTGGGCCTTGCTGTACGCTGGCGCTAGCGGTGTAGCCCGTTCCTTCCTTCATCATGTAGTATGTGTACTTCAGTGGTGATCGAGCTGTTGCGTTCTTTTCCCTATTCTGTCGTTCGGGGTTCTTTTTTAAAAATTCTCTTCCTGTGATTTTGACGAGGATCGTTGCTCAGGAATTGGGGAATTCGAGCGAGCATTATTTTTCGTCAGTGAGTACGAGATGGGAGTGAGTATGGAAAGTTGCCACTAAATTTTATGCTGGTCTTGTGATCGAAGCAGGTCTTTATTACGGACGCTAGTGAAAACCTCTTGAAGACTGGTGCGACGTGCGATAGTAGAAAAAAAAACCTGAATTCGGTGCCCGAAGTAGTTGAAAGTATAATTTGAAGCCATCGATGGGCATGAGTGGGAAGTGAAGGAAATTGATTTGAGTCACTCTCTAAGATAATGCAATGTTCAAATAATTGAGTGTGCAGTACCTCGTTTTGGATTAGTGAGGCAGAATTGAGCCATTGGTTGTTTTTCGAAGGCTCTTTCATGTTTTGGAAGGGATATTCCGTGGGAAAAAGTTAGAAAGCATGTGTAGTAGTAGGCAAGTTTCGTAAAATCTGCGTCCGATTGTTTTCCAAAACAATTCAATCATTTTTGTACAAAACTTGCTAAATTTAGAACCCCTGATTGCCTGCGATGTTCAACCACATCATACTCGCGTTGGTCAGTACGGTATCGTGATTTTTCCAAGAAACGCGAGGTGAATGCCGTACCTCACGGAGATTGATGAATATCTTATCCATCTCAAGGGAGCTAGAATTTTCGATGTGGATTTTTCGTGCGTTGTCTCAAATTTGCGAATGTCGTCAGTATCAAATCTGTGTCGTGCGTCGGATTTGGTTTTCCCGTCCTCACATTTGATTGAAGGGAGTGCTCAAGTTTTTCTTTTCATCCGTTGTGCGGTTTTCATGTAGGATTTGTTGAACCCTTGGTGAGGGGCAAGTATGGTATCTCCTGACCATGCTGTACCTATTGTCTGAAGATGATCAGCGCGATTTAGGTTTGTGGATGGTCTATTCTTCCTAATTGTGTCTGTTGTTGTGTGGCGCCCTTCGTTTCAAGGGCTTGATTGGGCTTGAGGCACTGCGTCTCCGACTACATTATGGTAACCTGCATTCAAATTTTTTTCGTTTATGAGTACTGTACTGTAATCTGAAAGCCAAAGCTAATTTTTTGTTTCCCCCCCCCCCCCCCCATTTTTTTTTTTTAGGTTTTTCGGTTGTTCCGTTCACTGAAATCAAATCATTCCTTCACTTCACGCTTCCATTATATTTTCTTTTGCCAGGACGTGTCCACCGTTGGAATTCAGACCAGCGTGATTTACTGCGTTTCGGGAAAAGTTTTTTTCAGGGTTTGAAAGGTTCGTTCTTATGGGCTCATATCCGGCCTGTTGTGCTCTTCGTTTTGATGTGGGAAATTCCATGGGACAGGCGTGCTCGTAAATCTCTTCGTGATGTCGTGTGCTAAATGCCGGGAAACCCTCCCCGAAATGGGGTCTGAAGGTTTTCACTTCAGAATGATTTCGAATCGTCGTAATTTATATGTTTTGTCGATTCTTTCAGTCGATCTTTAACCGCGAGCGAAGAAAGGTCGACGAACTCTTCTAAAAAAAAAGCTGTGAATTCAGATCGATGCACCCCATCATTTTGTGGGTATTTTATCCAATGGTGCGTTATTAAAGGGCGATGAGAGAAATGGAGCACGACGTCTTTTGCAAAGTTAGAATAAGGGTCTGGCAAATGAAAATATAATGGAAGCGTGAAGTGAAGGAATGATTTGATTTCAGTGAACGGAACAACCGAAAAACCGCAACTTTGAATCTGGAGTGTTTGTTTCGAATACAGTACTGCATTTTCCTCATCTGAACTGAGACATGCCCGGCTGAGTTTAAATCCTGCTATGTCTTGAATTCCGAACGATTCCGATAAAGTTATAAGCACCAAGCTGTTTTCAGTATAAACGCGGAATAATGCTCACGTTATTATCGGCTCATTTCAAACCTTGCGATGTTCTAGTCATAAACTCAAAAACGTGGACAGTCGGGAATTTATCTGTTCAAAGCTCGTTTCCGCAGTTCTTTTGTGATTGCTTCCCATTTTTCAACCTGGAGTCATTGTTCTAGTGTACTTTCTAGTTCGGCAGATTGTTTTTGTTTGCTCAGTTAGTTTTGTTGATTAGTTAAGGTTAATTTTTGGTCTCGAGCTAAGTGTTGGCCTACTCAGCATGGCACGTTCCGTGGACTTTAATTTTTGCAGGATGACCGTGTCCAAGAAATTTTATTCAAGTGGGGCAGTAGTGCTGCAGCTGAACCTCCATAACTCGAACCTTCCTATGTCGTCTATTCTTCAAGTCCCTGTCTGAATTCCAGAACAAACATTGCATTAAAAAACCTCCCTAACTCGAAGGCTACAATCCATGAACCTCCTTGTCTGGAGGCCTTTTGGCTATTGAAAGTTGTTTTTTTTTTAAATATAACTTTCACACAGGGAAGAGGAAAGAATAAAAATGTAACTTGGTGTGTTTAACAGGAAAATGAAAGAATAATTGAACAAAAGAACCCTTGCCTCCAAGTTCAGTGGCATTCTGTAAATTAATTCAAGAATCAATTCAAGGCCCTTTTTCACGAAATACAATTCCCTGCAATTCCTCTTTCTTTCCCTCGGCACTGCTTGTTTCCCTAACTCAAAACCTCCCTACATTGGAATTTTTCTGTTGGTTGCTTGAATTTCAACTGTGGTTCGAATTTATTACGACCGAGAATATCACCAATTACAATTTATTATAATCTTTCTTCAATTCCCCTAACAAAAAATGCCTTTTTCGCTAACTTGAAACCTCTTAACTGATTGATTGCTGGTCCTTTGATGTTAAATTTAAAGAATTCAACTATCGTTTGAATTTATTACGATATGTTAATCTCGCTACCAAACAGAATACGAGATAATTTTAGCAGTTGAATTTTCAGGTAAATGGTGCAAAATACGAGTTGCGCCGGTGCGGAAATTTTGAGCAATGGAGTGAAACGCTGTTAGCGGGCGTTCCTTTTCGAACCGTTGACGGAACTGTAACTGATGTGCTGCGCGTTTTAATCCTTGTCGAGTGTGTGCGTGTGTGTGAGGAGAAAAAGAAGAAGGCAGGAAGAAAGGGGAAACAAGTTCGGGGGGACGAGAGAGGAGATTATTAGCTCAGGGCTTCATCGGCTTCAGCGCGGACGAGAACCGAGTGTCGGGTCGACGAGGATGCGGAGCAGGAGCCGGATGCAGCGCTGACGAGTGGACGGTGTGTGCGGTGAATTGACCGGGCGGGCAAATGGTCCCCACGGTTCGGTTCGCCCTGTGCTGGGTGTTGGCCGTGTTGACGGCGTCGTTCGTCAACACCCAGGTCTACACTGACGACTGGGTCATCGAAGTTTCCGAAGACATGAGCGTGGACGAGATCGAAACGCTGGCCAAAAGCCACGGCTTTGTCAACATGGGGCCGGTGAGTGCTGGCTGCGGTTCATCGAAACTTCCGCATGCCCGTTTGTTTTGCGACTTCCCCTTGCTGAGCCCTCATGTATTTACTGCATCCCTCGTTATTTTCTTCGACAATTGTATCGACAGTTCGCGAGAGGGAAAAACGAGAAAAACTTTGAAAGCTCAGATGTTCATCTTGTCTGTGTGTTTGTATGTATGTATGTATGTATGTATGTGTGCAGATATGTGCTTGTATGAACGTATGTATGTGTTTCAATAAAAATGATCCCGGTTGCCGTTTTAATGCCTCCATCAATTAGAGACGCACCGTAAAAACTTCAAATAAAAATACAGGGGAGGGGGACTCCACCACGAAATTCATGGGACCCGAAAAAATCGTTGTAGATAAATCCTGTAACCTGCGGTGAGAACCCTATCGAACCAAAATAATTGTTATGCTTATCGACTCTGTAGAACGATCTTTTTTACAACGGTTTTCCCTGTATAACGAAGTTTTTGCGGTTCTATTCCCACGGTATAGGGGTACTCCACAAAAAATTCTGCCTAAAAAGAATATTTTCTGGCCCCTTGATTTTTTTGTCGGAATAGGAAGAGAGGGTCTACATGTATTAATTTCCCTGTGTCAGACAGGCTGAAAATCCATTCTTGCCAATCGCAAGATGAAATCAAATAAAACTACGCGTGACTGTGGAATAATTAATGTTACATATCCATGAAATAGGCTAATTTATCAAATTTATTAGCAATTACGAAGGAAGAAATTCTCATGAAAATTCTAACAAAAGAGCACAGTACAATATAGCCCTTTGTGAAGTACTGTACTATACTTCGTAAATCTCGAAGGTTGAAGCCGAAATTAGGATTTCCTTGTGAGAATAGATGTGGAACACTTTTCCTGAAATTCATACATGACGCGTTTTATTGAACCACAATTGAATCAAAAGATAATTCTCATACGGTATTGTGAAAATGGTGTGTTTGGAATAACGCTGTAAAAATTCAAGAAAATCGACGATGAGATCTAGAGGAATACTGTAATCAACGGAGAAATTTTCCGGAAACACGTTGTTGCAAAAACTGCTCAACGATTTTACAATGAGACTATTGCAATAATGAGGGTGTGTAACTCGGAAAGTTTTGTTTGAGGGTCGCAGACCGGAACGGCATGAAGTTCCGCTTATCCGCGGGGCAAAGGAACGCGTTAGCCTTCAGTTGTGTTTGCTCGAACTTCCAGGGCTCTCGGGTTTATTGTCTTGCGACAATGAATGACTTTTTCTTCTTCTTCGTACGTTTCGTTTCTGTGTCGAATTGCGAGTTCCTTCCCGCAGTGTCGATTGTAAGGCTCTGGGACGAAAGCGAAACAATGCTTTCTTGAGCAAAGATTTCCTTCTCAGTGTTATCTGTGGTCACATCGGGCTACTGTCCGACATCAAGATGAAATTCACGGCGATGCTGATGTTCTTCGTCGGGAAGGGTTTTATTTTCGGAAGTTGAAGGGTCGTTGTCGAGAGAAAAAACGCTGATTTTTTGATGCGAGGTATGTTTTCCCTGTATACTTTTTGTTGATGTCAACAATAAAATTTGCGAAGAGCTTTTGAACGGTCACACTTGAGTAACTTCGGAAGCTTTGTGAGTTACTTGCTTAAGTGGAGCGCTCACAGTATTACTTCTGAGTTAGTCATCTCGCGAATTTCGAAATCTTGTCAGGGGATTGTCAATGGTGGTGGAAACGGTGCAAGCATTGGTGAAGCTTTTCAGAAGTTAGGAGTTATTACCGCATTCATTTTATCATATGCCGCGCCCTGATTTTTGGCTGTTCTTCGAAGGGAAATGCGTATCTTATAATTCGAAATGTTCTGGAGGGAGAACATGGCAAATGTGACCGTTTTACTGAGAAAAATACTGTACCTCAAGGGGTTATTAGTTGGCGTTTTGAGCTATTTTTTTTGCCTAAGTATAACTACAGGTGGGCTCTCTCTCCGGCGAAATTCAGGGGACCAGAAAAAAATTCGTTGTAGAGAGAGTTTTTATTTGTATGGAACTTATTGGGTAAATAATTCTTTTGATCCAAAAGAAACTGCGTCATAGAGAGAATCCATCTGTTCTACTGGCTGAAAATCTTTCTGGATGATGAGCTTTTTTAGGTTTTGCCTTCTGAATGGGCAATTCTCATATATTTACGTGAGTATTCTTCAGGATTGGGTTCGCAAATACGACTCATGTTTGACTAAATCTGAATTATTCGACCCTCAGGCCTCAAAGGAGTTTTGGTGCTTGCTATGATCGCGTGAATACATAATCGTCGTGATCAGAAACTATGCCCGAAAACAATTTACTTTTCGGACGATATGGCTGCTTTATGTGCGTGCAGCTGAAACGGTTGAAAGGTTGTCGAGAAGGAAGGAATTTAAAAATTACGCTGGGCTTCATTATTTTCATCGTGCCAGTTGCCGGAAACGGTGGGTTTTAATTGTGCGTTGTATTACGAACACGCCGTAATTTTTCCGTCGCCTTTTGCATCCGGCGTTTGCATTCGTTCGTGCGTCAATGGACAAAAGGAAAACACGAGTGACGTGGGCGTGTCGCTTTGTGTCGGTGATTGAACCGAAATCGCGTGTGCAGAAACGTCGTCGCGTTTTGGGAATTCACGGGCGGGCGCGTGGTGTGGCGCCGGACGAGGGTTCTGTGATCTTTATTATACAAAAAATTTTGTCGATTTTTCCACATCGTGCTTTCTCTTCTTTTCATGATTTATTTATTTATTTTTGGTTGTGCTTCGGTTGGTTGGTTTGAGTTCTGGCCCTAGTTCTGGGGTAGATTCACGGCAGCGTGATTTTCCGTTATGATGCCATTTCCACGACTATTTCACCTGTCGAACCGAGTATACAAAATATTGCTTCTCTGATAATTTCGATTGGTTAACTGTTGACGCATGCGAAGGATATTTTGCTTCAAGAAAGCTTTTGTTTTCATCTAATGTGTCCCTGAATAGTCGCCTTCTTCATGTTCAATTGCGAAATTTCTTAGCCATTTTGACTCGCGGAGCCCCCTAAGGCAAATATCGTTCCGAATTTTCACATAAAGTTGCTGACGCGAGTAGCCTTTCCATCTTTGTTGAACGACTAAAAAGTCCTCATGCTGACGTGATTTCTGTTTCTTCTGTGTTTCCAGAATGTCCATTAATGAATGCATTGATAAATAAAGGTTGACTCTCTCTCAACAATGATCTTGTCCACAACGATTTTCTCCGTATAAGGATTTATTTGCGGTCCCATAGGGTTCTCTCCTACGTTGTAGGGATCCTCCGCAACGAAATTTTTTTTTTTTTTAATTTCTGGTCCCTGGAATTCCGTTGTAGCAAATTTTTGCTGACAAAGATTTTTTGTTCGTTTTTCTGTTTCCTGTTCCAGAGCCGAAATGTTAGGTTAATTTCCGTTTAACGAATATTTGTCTATAACGAAGCTCTTTTCAAGGTCCCAAATACTGTGTTGTTCAGTAAATTTCATTGGAGCGAAGCTGTTTGTACCAGTGAAGTAGCTTCGTTATAAAGAGAAATTCATTTTGAAAAATCTTTGATAATATTGTGGCTAATGTGCAGGGACCTGAAACAACTTCGTTGTGAGCGACTATTATTTACAACTAGATTTTTCTGTAACAAGATTCCACTGTATTTTTGTTGAGAATAAATAATCCACGCAAATTAGTGTTGAACTTTGAACCGGAATTGAATGCCAGATTTATTGTTGGGATTGGAAAATTCAAGATCACGATAACGGGGTTCGTTCCTGGCTTTGGGTATGGTTTTAGGTAGCATGTGACTTCCTCTCTGTGTGATCCTGGTTCCATTCGGTCTGTGGAAATGAGCCTCCGCTAACCTTCCCAGGTGCCGGAATCCGTGATGAATAATTTCTACCAAAACTCAGCCAGAAAGTAAAGAAAGGAATTGTGAATATTATGCGAAATTCCTGTGAAACTTTCGAATGCCGACGGAACTCACGTCGCGAGACGTGAAGCGGGTTTGGCTGGTGCATTTCCTTGTGATTGCGGGAACGACGCTATATTGCTAATAAGTTTCTACAAATTTACTGCTGTTTCACAGAACCTGTTCTTGCAGTTGAACTCTTCGATGGATGGACTTCCTTTTTGACGGTGCCCCGCCTTCTTTTATTACTGTACCTCCCACACGGGACTGTGTTGAGAATGACAACTCAACTAGCCAATCCTACCGTAATGATTTTTGAACACTGTACAGTGATTATGTTCGCGATAACGACTTATTGCGAACGTGGAAACACATACATTTTGTTCCTTGTAGAATCATCAAAGCTAGCAAAATGTCGAATACAATGTCGCTCTGCAACTGCGCAAAAAATTATTTATATATTGCTTTCATGCGACAAGGCCTTGAATTTCATTCAATATTTCGAATTATGCTTTCACATTATCCTCACAAGTCGATCCAGGCAAACCTCTCAAGTCAAACTTCAAGGGACCTGCGGGAAATCGAGTTGAGGTGGTTTCGAGCTAGGGAAACGAGCATTTCTGTCGGGGGAAAGAAATAAAAGTTGAAGGAAATTTTATTTGGTGTTATTCTGGACCTTGAATTGCTTTTTACATGAGTTGACAGGATGCTGAACTTGGAGGCAAGGGTTATACTGTATACCAATCAGTCGTCCACTTCCTTTCGAACGGATCAAGTTATACTGTATTGTGTATTACTTTAGTATTGCTTTTATCTTTTCCGTGTCAATAAAATAATAGCCAAAAAGGCCCCCAGAAAATTCGAGTCTTGGAGGTTTTAGGGGAAAGCCTTCTCGTTAGGAAGGTTTTTAATGCATTGTTTAAAAAAAATCGGACAGAAACTTGTCAAAAAACGACATAGGGAGATATTCGACTTAGTGAGGTTCGATTTATTGAGGTTCAGCTGTAATTTTATTGAGTGGATTTGCAAGTCTAAACCTTCCCAGATACTATCAGGATAACCCGTCACGAATTCCAAGCCGTCTCATTTTTCTGAAATCGAAAAAATAAAATTAAAAGGAAGTTTTCTTTAATGCTGCATGCGGAAAGTGGTGACCGTTAACTTTCAGATCTCGACTTCGCAGAGCAGAAACTTTCTGTTAATTCCACTGTCATGTTGCTGTGGCACAAATCGTCATTATAATACCGCTTGACTGGGCGAAATTGTGTTCAAGTCTTAAGATTGTATGCCTTTTGACCAGTATCTTTCAGTCGTCATGCCAGTTGGCGATTTGAGTCGGCGTTTCGTTGTGCAATAAGCAGGAGGCTTCGTTTGTGTAATTGGCGAACACGATGCTAACGAGACTTGCCTTTCGATGACGAATCGCGTTACGAGATCACCGCCGCAACGCCTTTCTCCAAATTTTTTCCCTCCGTTGCGTTTTTAGAAATGCAGCGACGCATTTTTAGCTGAATACAAATCTTTCCGTGTGAAAGAACCAGGATGCTGACAGCGATTGCGGTATCCGATCGGGAAAATCATTGTAGCGTGAGAAGAAATGCCAACTAAACTCCCATGACTTTACAGAAATTTGGGATTCCCCTGACGGCGAGAAATGCGTGGAGGAGGAAAACTGTGGGATTCCTGGTTAGGTTTTCCGCCGCAATTGTCTTAAATACGCATTTGAACGCCACCACAACCCACGACGATGAGGAAATTAAAACGAAACTGAATGCGATTGTCTTTTGGTCACGTGATTTTGGCTACGGAAGCGATTGTGAACTGTATTGTACTTTTTCAGTACCATATGATGGGTAAGGCGACGCTTGGGAAAATTGGGAATGGAAGATTGGTTGAGCGCGGAAGATTGAAGTTTTTCGAATGCGTTTTCATCTCTTCACGATTACTCAAATGGGAAAGTAACTCACCTTATGTTCAAATAGTTTAACGAAATCGTCACATTTTTTTTAGAATCAATTCAATGCCTGAAGCTTTTAAAAATGAAAATCATTATTTGTATTCAAAATACCACTTTCCGTACGCGTTGAGTGTTGAATTCAGCCTGGAATCCCATTCCTTGATCGCTTTGGTGATCACGCCACCAATGAACGTCTGTAAGCGTTTTTAATCTTCGATATTTCTAGGTCGTGTATTGAATGATTCGAGCTAAACTTTCTTTGTGATGGAATCGAATAACTTTTTTTTTTTTCGTAAGAAACTAACCTGTGTTTGTATTTTGCCTTTAGAATAGCATATTAAGTTCATTCTGAGTGTCAATTCAACGTGTTAATTATGCGTTGTGGAGCAT